CACAAGATGTTCCAAGCAAAAATCGCTGCCTGCAAGGACTTGCCGCTGGTCTCCTCCTTCTCGAACACGGACATGGCACGCTCCAGGGTCGCACTCACATCGAGTAACCTCGACCGGTCTGCCGTCGCGACCCGCGTGGGTCGGCTTTGGTCGACGAACATGGATGAACACCGTTCCACGTGGATGACCGTTCCAAATCGCTTTCCTTCTATCGGTTCCTTCTATTGATCTCGAACTTCTTGGGGGCGAATTTTAGGGTTCTAAGATGGTTCTAAGAGATGTCAAGAGAATTCCAGAACCTGCCGGATTCACACCTTAGAATCCTTAGAAGGAAAAAGGGGGGCCCTCTAGCCGCCTTACCAATTGTAACATCATGACTGGAGTGAAAATGAATCACTGAACGCACTTGGACAGTTTGGTGGAACCCAATAAGTTGAGCCACGTCTCTTTGAGCGTTAAACGAGATGGTTCAGCTTGTTGGGATGTTCCAACGTGCTAGGAAGAATCTGACACAGAATCCACCACACCGGAATCCTCCAAATCAGTGACTGGTTGGTAGTTTCAACTCGATAAATATTTGTCAGTGGGTTCAATCATCCCAAGTAAAGGTTGAACATAAATATCTGAAACCATCACCTAGGTGAACATCATCCGACCTTCAATATTGTTCACTAATTCACGTGGTGCAGAAGGTCAATTTCTTCCTCTAGCAGTCAGGCTAAGACCATCCGGGTCGCTGCAACTCGTGGATCATCATCACTGTTCATCCGTGCGACGGAAATATGATACACTCCCTGAAACAATCATGGTCCCATTGGAGGACAATTTTCCTCTACACTACAAACAGGTGACTTTCCACTTCAATGATCATTTCAGGGAATGTATGTCCAACCTATTTCTGTCCATGACATGAAGGCCAAACAAAACTGCTCCCACCCGAGCACTCTATATTCTTGGTATGTCAGGACCTTTCTGTGAAGAGTGAAGCGCTCCCATGTCCACTACCACAACCCTGTGGCCGTGTATTCCTTGCAAACAAACGGATTCTGGTTCAGCTCCCGCTCTTCGTCCAACCACCCCCACCACCACCACAACCCACAAACCACTACCACAACCCGCCTCTTCCTCCCTGTCTTGTTGCAACGCCCAGTCGCTCTTGCTGCGCCGTCTTGAAATCTCCTGTCTCCTTCGTGCGGACCTGTGACTTGAAAGGGAGAGAGTGAGTGAAGGCCAGAAACAGGTGAAGGCCAGAAACATGGAGGACATGCTGTGCTGGTGATGTTTCGTTCTTCTGAGCTGCAGGAGGAATGAAGGTCCCAGATTCGAACTAACGGTCTCTGAGTCCAGTCATGTTTTGACCGAAACCCACCGCTGATGAAGCATGGTGGGCGCCCTGTCTTGGCAACAACAAGTCCTTCACAATTACCCAAGACCTTAGGCTCCTCTGCAAAAAAGAACTTGAGATGGTTGCTTGGATTTGCTTGACGAACCCGGATAAAATGAACAAATACTCCCCAGAAGGGGGCTTAACCATCGGGAAAAGACACATCACCTTAAAGCAAAACCAGGGTTGTCTCAGCAAAATGTAGCAAAATATGCGCCTCGGTGGCAGACTTCAACTCCTCTTCATCTTTAGCGATGGACTCCTGGCGACAGTTCTTGGATTTCAGGAGCCGAGGTTCTATGACTTGGCTCTCAAAAATCAACAGCTGTCCGACCTCCAGTGTTTTGTGGGTCCACTAACTTAGCCACATCAGGTTTTCACAAGTTGAGGTTCCCACGTTCCGCACCAGTGGTGAGGTCGTGGCAGCCAGGCATGGAATAAAACAGCCAACTGCTCATTGTGCTTGGTGAAAAACATGTCTGGTCTTGAGTCCACCAACTACTCCAGTCCCCTCCTGTGTCTCTTGGATGCTGGTGGTCATTGCCTCCATCTTGCTGTCCGCCTTGCTGATCCTTGCGCCATGCCATTTGGACACTGATAGCCAAATGCAGGGAAAGGGAAGAACAAAACAACACGACGATGGCTGTTCCTGACCGTCAGAGTTTCGAACATCGAGGTTAACCACCACACTATAGACACAGCTTGTGGATTTGCGTGGGGCGTCCCCCTATCGCCGGAATCTTCCCTTCCCCCCAAGAAACGTGACTCAGCTGTTGGTCCATTCAGCCTTTTTCTCTCTGAGTCCCATCGGGTCCTACGGTGGGCATCAAGTTTCTCCACCATCCGACATACCGGTGGTTACAGTACTGTGTAATACTGCGTAATACTGCGTATGCGCCACTGGCAGATGTACTGCGATGAACAGCAGACAGGCAGACCGGCCCGGCGCCTGGCAGACAACTCTTCGATCTCAGTCTTGGCCGTCTTGATTTGATACCTGAGGAGCAAGAAAGCTACTAGGGGCTCCTGGCACTACTACTAGGAGCCAAAAGCTACTACTAGGAACAAAGGGCATCGCTACGAACGGAGGGACGCTAGGAACAAAGGGCGTCTGGCGGAGCGCGAAGACGGCCACGCAGCGTTGCTGAGCGAGTGCGCGCTCCGCGGTGTGCCGCGCACGGTCAGTGCTGTCGGTCCGTCCGAACAAGGCGACAGAATGGGAGCGATGGCTTTTTGGGGTAGTTTCCTCAGTAACGACACCTATAAGCTTAGTCCATGCTTAGTATATAATGATCACTTCATGTGTGGCTGAGGAAATGATGGTCTCTGGCATGATCCTTACTGGGATGATCGACACTTATATATATGATCCTTACTGGGATGATCCACACTTATATAATTACGGTTGGGACCAAACTGGCGAACTATTCGCCTTACATGGTTTCAGAATGCTTTGTCTGACCCACACTCATCTGCATGTGGGCGCGAATGCCTGCCATTGCAGTGGCCTACAAGCCAGCAGGCTTCGACTCGCATTCAGCTCAACCCATATAGCATCATATAGCTGAGAGGCTGAAGATCTGCCGATCTCCTCTCACACATGTTCGAGAACTTGGCGATCTTCGCATCCTTAGACCACACCACTCAAGCAACCTCACTAGATCTTCTCCTTGGACAATTAGGACTGGAGGTAGAGTGGATGGACTGCGTGGAGATGCATCCAACCAACCAAACCCAGGCTGCTCCTTCCACATTAACCTGTTTCCCAGAAGTGCAAATATGGATTTGAGCGTGAGCGTAGGCACCATGCTGTCGGTTTGAGTCTTTTTTCGAGCACAGTATCTACAGTATTCGACCCTTTCAAGACAACAACTCCCGGAGTCCAAATCTATCCTCTCCAAATCCAAACACGCAGAAACACATGGTGAACACATGACCAATCCCAGGGAGAACCCATGGTGACGAGGACCAGTTATAGACCTCCAGCGGTTCCAGGGATGAAACGCACAAACAAAGCCCCTCCGCATGAAGCTCAAGCCGCTTCCGCCTCGCTCTCCTGAACGATGCTGGTCTCCATCTCCTCCAGGAGGCTCACGACCTGACCCAGCGGCTGGAAGTTGACTGGATGGGTGGATCATGGTTCAACCCTATTGGTGGTGAATATGAGGAAATCAACCAATAGGGTTGTCATGCGACATGTTGAAATGATGAACACCATTCTCAACCAACTCTCAACCAAGCCTTCACCCAACCGACTCGCCTTTGCAACAGGGCTGCCTGCATGCGCGGCACACAGGCCCATGAAGCTCAAAAGGAGAGCCTGGTGTTGGCCGTGGCGCCCGTTCTGCGGCTCCGGTTCAAAACCTGGAACCCGACGTAGCCCGACAAGGCCAGGCCGTGCCCTTTTTCGGTCGTGCCCTCCCATGGCACCCAAAGTGGTGCGAAAGAGATTCGTCCAGAGTGGGTCATGGTGTTGTAACAAGGACCAGCTTCAGCTTCATAAGAATCCGCTTTCCGGATCTTACAGGATTAAAATAAACAACATAATATTAGACTCTTAAGAATAGTACAACCTGTCACATGAAGATGCTTCACAATCCAAAGGGGGGTCTATTGTTATTACTCTTGATTAACAGACCCACCCTCACCCCCCCCATCTGGATTGTAAAACCTCTTAATATGGCAAGTTTTATGAATCAAGAGTCTACCTTCTCTCTGGCCAAAACCGAGGTCTTGGACAAACCAGTTGTTGGAAGTCAAGCCTAGACCTAGACCCCTCCAGCAACTGGAGCCACCTCTGGCCACACCTTGACCTATCCGACCTATCCCAAATGGCACAAAAACGAGGGATCCAATTTCATAGCGGCCGTTTGCGCCACTCTGACTGTGCGTGCCGGTCTGGTGGTGAGAGAACGCGTCGATGCAAAATGTCTCCACGTCTCACTCCGCATCACACCCCTTTATTCATATTGCTTTAAATCCTTTATATTTTCCTCATTTGGGGACTCCTACGACACAGGTCCCACCATGAAACCACTGGTTGCTGAGCAACACCTGTTTCCTCTCTGGATCGTTTAGAGCTTGGAAGTCATCAACACTCTCACCAGAGGTCCACAGTCCGCCCAAAGATCACGCGGCCCCCCCCCCTCACCCAAGACTGATCAAATACATCAAGGCACAAATGCCATTTTTGCGCCGGCCGCTTCTTCGTTGTTCTGGGGGGGGGGGCGAATCACTTGAGCCCAACAGTGGCTGTTTTTGAGCGACGTTCGATGTTCGTCTGTTTTTAGTGAGACATGTGCTCTGTCAAACCAACCCCTCTCTAGCAGCAGTGGCCTCCAGCCTAAGAGCCATGGCCTAACGATGGCCTCCAATGTAAGAGCGACGGTCTAGGACAAAGAAATCATGCCCGTCTGTCTTTTTTGTTGTCTGCGGCCCATCCGCATTATACCGGCCCAAACGGCCAAAATGTGTAGGCGTTCGTCATACGACCTCGATAAGTTATCATACATTTTCTCATGTTCATGCCCTGATCGAACATATAGATTTTGGACCTTGTGAACCTACCTGCAGTACTGACATCTTTTGCATGAAGATTCTCCACACCCGAGGCCACTGGATCAGCAAGGAGGCCATGGCAGACACCTCGGCAAAGGTGTAAGGTCCACTCCAGGTTAAGAATCGTGCATATATATATAGTACTGAGTGACCTGAAGTTGAACAGGTCCCGACCAAGAAAACCCTTTGCTCGACAGTTGTGGAACAAAAAGTCCAATTGCATGCAACAAATTGAGAATTCGATGCTTTCTCAAACACACGGCGCCAATTCAGCCGAGACACACGCACCAATTCATCCCCAAATCGAACACAAACATCTGATCAATCCGTCTTCAGCAAACGAAGTATTGCGATGTTTTTCTAACAAACAAACAGTGCTTTCCATGCTTTTCCCTTGCTCTGCCGGTCACCAGGCGGTCAAGTCTGGAGACTTTGGGGATGGTCAAACGCGCCAGTTGAACCTGTGCCGAATGAGTCACACCAGTTTCACCGGCTGCTGAATGGCAAAATAGGAACCGCACGCTTGAACAGGCCGTGAAAAAAACATGTGAAAAGCCCGTGAACAGGGTGAAGGGCAGTAAAAAAAACATGCAAAATGATAAGAAAGTGGAACCCTGTCCTTTGGACTTGCTGGGCCAAAACGTTCTTACATTCCACAAAAAAAAAACACCGCGCCCCAATCCCTTCTCTCACGTTCTCTCACACGACATTCTCCAGGTGAAAACCTCGACGCCGACTGGCATCGTCGCCGCCGAGTGGCCGAGACCAAGCCACCCACGTAGCTCCAGCCTCGGCCACTGCTCAGCAAGGCCTCGGGACGGAGCTGTTCTCGGCGGACGCGGTTGGCACACAGGAGCAGCGCTGCTTCGGTGCGGCCCTGGCCTCCATTAGCGTCCTTGCTCCTAGTAGTAAGGCCAGGAGCCCACCAATGTGTGAAAAGGATTCGTCTATGGCGCAAGGACTATGACCCTGTCGACATGCTTACTCGGAGTCCATTTCATTCAAGGCAACAAGTCAATCTTGAATCCAACTGGTTGGCACGGTCAAACTGGTCAGGTCCTCAGCCATGTTGCCTAACATTGTGCTTGATCCTCTGGGCCAAATGAAAATATCATAGTATATACACAACCGTACTACAATCAGGAACCATGTTGATATAATATATGTATATATGTAGAATATATGTAATATAAGCCCTTTACACTACATCGAGAGAACTTTTTTCAAGACTGCAGCCCGCTAGCAACTTTGGTTCATCGCAGCCCAAGTCAACAAGCTGTTGATTAACTGCAACAAACTGTTCACCTCCAACAAGCAACTTTGATGTAAAGTTGCAAAGTCAAATTGGTCAATGGTAAGCAACTGTTTTTTTGTCAGGCTGTTGATCTGTTCACTTTTGTGCACCTCGACTGTACAAAGGATCGAGGACTGTGTGATGAAGTATGTCAAGATTCCTGCCAATCCAATCATGTACTATTCACATGCTTGGGCAATCATGCAGTATTCAGTCTTTGCGCTAGAATCTGCAAAATAGCGCGTTTGGATTCCGGATGGATGTAATTCTTTGTTTGTGGTGAGACTTCATCTCCACACACCTTCATGCTCCGCAGTCTGCGCCTCCCTCCTTTCTCCTGTCCCTCCGTCGGGCCCCGACAGTCAGCGCCAGCAGTTGAAAGCGGGTCAAGAGATCCTGGCCAGCTCCGCGACGCCCGTCCGACGCCCGAGCCCCCTTTTTCCATCGCGCGGGCGGGCGGAGGAGACCTAGCTGACGGTGTAGGACTGTGGTCAGGCTCCACAAGCGAAGATGCTATGTTTGTATGTTCACGGAGATGTGGCAGAATCAAGAGATGATGGATGGGATGTTGCTGGCCCAACGATGATCTAAATCGTTTCTCTTGCATCTTGGGGAACTTGGCAAACCCAAGTACAGCAGAAGAAAACGGAGACAAGACCTAACAGATCGACTAGTCTTAGTTTTGCATGTTGACCATACAACATAGTTCCAGCTCCAGCTCCGTCAGGTGCGGCCTTGTTCCGAACACTCCCGAAAATGCACAGACCGGTGGACACCGCAGATCATCCGTCCCCGTGCCCCGCGCCGTGGAGAGCAACAGGAAATACCTGAGAAAGGCGCTTCTGTTCAGCGCCGAACTGTCAGAAGCAAAGGTTGTTGTGCCGTTTTTTTGACAGCGAGCATCGAGGAGAAAAACAACACGGTTCACATCACATGGCTCTCACTCCGCGGTTTTCCAGAAAAACACATGTTAACAAGAGTCGATGATGGTGATGCTTAGCTGCTATGGATGTTTGGGGATCCCACTTTCGTTATGTGTATCTATGTGTATCTCACTTGCTCAGCATTGGTGGGCAGTTAAACCAACCTCCCCTGCGACATCATGCATCAGCATGCAGCACCATGTGGGAAAAACATGGAAACATGTTCCTCTCTTCAGCTTCATCTTCCCTGTTTGCTTGCGAAACCATCCTTCTCTGCAAGAACCAAAATGGAAAGAAGACTAAGACCAAACAAAAAAAACAACACATCGCTGCTTCCAGCGCTTTTTGCTGGTAAGTTCCAGTCAACCTCACTCCTGAGCCATTTCCAAGCAATTTTGTTAACGATTAAATCAAACATAATCAAACTGTCAAGTTTTTGGTGGAGAATCCAACCCCAACAACATGTTAAAGGTCATCCACTGAGGTAAATGTGGGTGTGTGATGTTTTTTTGGGGTTGTTGGCAGGAATGCCGACGGTAGCTGGAAAACAATAATTCTCAAGAAGTATCCTCCCGACCTCTGTCGAGTGTTTTCAGCGCTTTTCAACACCTGTCAGCCAGAAGATGAGCTGATGGAGGATGTGCCTGGCCTTCTTGGTTCACAGAGGCTGTACAGCGGCTCCAAATTAGGTGCACGTTTGTCACAAGCACAGCTTACGGCATCGCCAAATGGAAAAAAATGGGTTGTTGTTGGTGCTGTTGATGTTGCTGCTGCTGTTATTGTTGTTGTTTCTGGATGTTTGTGGTCATGGAAATTCTCCTCTCTTGAGACTTCTACTCATCCGCATGTGTTTTTTCGTCATCAGGAAATGCTCATAAACTTTGTTGAACGAGTTTCTGAAGGTGTATGGTTCTGTATGGTCTTTGTTGTTCTTTCGGCACCCAATAAGGCCCCAAACTTCCCAAGCATGTGACTGTTCTTGCCTGGAAAAGACGAAAAACAAGAACAATATATATATATATATATCGAATTCTGAAGGGCAAAGGGATTCCAAAAGACACTGGGGCTAACAGGCTAACAGTCTAACAGGGTCATCCTTCAAGTCATGTTCCAATAAAACTCCAACACGTTGCATTCTTCCCTCAGTTCTTCCGCCTTCGGGCACACCTCAACAAAACCTGTAGCGATGGCCTCCAACAAAAGAGCGATGGCGTCTAACCTACTTCCGATGGCCTCCAAGCAATGGCCTTCAACCATGGCACGCGAAGGCATGCGATGGTTTTCCAACCGATCCGGAAGAGGGGGTGAAATGCATGTTAACTGGACACTGAACCTTTCTCCGCTCCTCCGTGGTGGCGGAGATTCAATTCTCTTTCCTCTTCTCAGTGACCTCCGACGCGGCCGATGAGCTCTCGGAGACGCTTCGCCCAGGCACGAGACCAAGATCATCAAGGCTTCGGACCTGGCCGAGGCGGCCGAGGCCGAGGCGGAGCCTTTGGGCCGAGGTGGCGGGTGGGTTGCAGCCGGGGAGGGGCTGAAGCCGTCGGAAGCCAGTTGTTTGGGTTGCAAGGAACGTTGGGAGTTTGTATTCTTTTTTGGGGGGGTGAAGTTGTGATACAATTTAGGGTCTTTCTCGGTTCTTTCTCTTCCTGTTTTTGTAAGTTCCTGTCATGTTCGTTGCTGTTCGATCCGATCTAACTCTCTGCACCGTGCCAGATCTGCAAACCGATGGCACGGCCTCGGCCGATTCAGACCGCCCTCCAAGGTTTTCATCTCAAGAACTATCGCTCTTGTTCCATCGGCCACCTAGCTGGGGTTGGGTTTGGTGGATCCGCTGCCACTGTACCTCAGGTTCGGTACGACTGGACTCTTCAAACCAACATAAAAGAGTCGATCTGAACCTTATCCATGCGTATAGGGTAGGTAGATGTAGGTAGTTCCTAGTTTGGGACTGACTACAAACCTCGACAAAGTCTCAGTCGGACTGGGCTACCCCACCAACTGGCAGCAGCACGCAGTAGGATCACCAGGCGGGGACAGGACTCTTCAGTGATCTTGAATTGGTCCTTGACAGGGGCAACAAAGACCATCATATTATAGATATACTATAATATGCTACTTACTGTAACGGATTTGTAAATTCAAGCTTGGATTCATTCTCCCGAGTTATAAAGGCTGAAAAAAAACAATCATTGAAACCACCAACCAAATCACCGCAAACCTACTCGCCCTAGCTCAAAAACAACCAGTCTGTCGAGTGAACGCTGCCATTCATGGCACTGGGTCATCACAGGAATTCCACCGCTCTTTATCAAAACAATTCCATGATAAAAGCCCCAATCATGCGATGCACTCCAAAGCCACAGGCTGTATGTATCCATTCTACTTCCATTTTACTCCACTTACTCCTCTTACTCCCTAAGCCCTCAACCATCAAAAGCACACACCCTCGGGGCTCTGCCCTTGGTCACTGACCATATCAACTTGTCCTCTGCAGGAAAGGTCAATTTCAAGGGGAACTGCTCGGGCGTCACTTGGTTCAGCTCGGACAGGTCGAGCCTCAGGTCGTTTTGAGAGAGGAAGCTGCAACAAACACATTGCTCGATATGGTAGTTGGATGTAGTTTCGTTGGAGATTGATTATTCAGGATATGGATGATTGTGGTCCTGAAGGGTAAAATAATGCCGATCTACTATATTCTACTATACTGCAGGCTTTGCTCGTCATATTGACTCATCTATCATCCTCTATCGATAAAATGCAAAATCCACACAGGGTATTGATGTGTCCTTTTTCTTTGTATGTGATGTATGTGTAGCGTCTCTGCTAATCAATGCAGCAATGGTGCTCAGACTACAACAATCACAACATCTCTCCCCTCGTTCAAGGACCTGTCCATACACCGGATGTCAGGATCTAGGTCTAAACCTGGGCTTAATGAGTTGACTACACGTCCTCCACTTCCATGTTTGAGGGAGAGCTCTGGCATGTTCCTTCGTCGAATTCTACGACGCGTCGCCCGTTTTCGATGGTTATATAATTTGTCCCCTATGTTATAGAAAAAGGGGTGAAACATCCGGTTCGTGGGGTTCATAATACCTTTCACAAGACCTTATCAAATTGATCTCCGAAAGATTCTACTCTAATTAACTATACTTGTTTGACCAAGCAAATTCTACACCACCTGACCCAGGTTTAGAGAAACCAAGTCAAAAAAGGGTTGATCCCGCGTTTCAGGATGTCCTGCAACTCGCTGAGGACCATCATAGCCACCAAGAAGACCGGGTCCGGTTGGCACACGCTGCGTGATCGCACTCGAGTTGCATGTCTCTTCTTTTTTTACGAACCCAAGACGGTTCGTAAGGAAACCCTTTTACAACATGTCCTGACCTTCTTGACTTCTTCAACCTATGATCGCCCGCCTGATGACCTGGAGAAATCGGGACTCTCCCACCACCATCCACCCAATCGAGCAGCCGAAGGCCATGCTGATCCTGAATGATGTAGCCTTCTCGTCCACGCAGCTTCTCGCGAAGCGCTTCGGCCCAAGCTTCGTTCCACTCCACAGTCTCCAAGCTTCCTTCTCCCCTGCGCATGACGGAGGATGTCATTCATTCGGACGGGCTGTGCTTTGCACAAAGAGAAACAAACAAGAAACTCAAGAAAGAAAGGGATGTTCCCTCAAACAACCACTTGTTCTGAAAAGGATCTCAATTGCCATAGGAACAAACATTTGTCTCTGGTTGTTGTGGTTTTTATGGTCCACACCCTAGCCCATCCCCTGAACTGCAGGTGCGGTAGTGGACCGCCTGTCCCCTAGGGTTGCACCCGGAAATTGAATCATAGTTGGAAGAACAATGTATGAACATGTGTGAACATATAGGCAACCTCCCAATCGATGGCTCTACTTCTCCAGGTCTTTAGTGAGGGTCTTGATGCGTCTCCCTATTTCAATCGCCCATGTCATCTCACAGTGACCCAAGACAAATGGGTAGACTCCCTGGGTAGACTTGTTCCGAAGAAGATTGCACCTTGCACCCCCTGGTTCTCGGACACCGACACGCGGTGCCCGGTGCCCTTTTCTTCTGCCCGACCTCCAAAACTTGTATCCTCTGCAAAGGAAGCCTCAAAGTACGGGGCGTCGGAGTTTGTCGGTTTTAGCTGGTTTGGTGAACTGGTTTGGTGAGTCCGGCGACGAAAACGGAGGTTCGGTTCACTCCCAAAGAGACAGGAAAACGGATGCCCGGTCGCAACGGCGACTTTGCTCGGGACAGGTCTCTGCCATGCCGATAAGGGAATGTCTCTGGCTCGTTCTGGTCTACTTCGGTCTGCTGGAGGTGGGGCGGGGACAGCAGAAGGGCCACAAGGCTTGACGTGAACCTTGGGCACGTGCATGTGTTACATCTCTTGGCCACCGCTGTATAGTTAAAAGCTATTGGGCCCATTGGGAACCTGGGAACATGGTTTGATGAGATGCACAACTCGGAGAACACAGTAATTGGTACAGTGTCTTCCTTCCACATTGAGGAAACCGTCTAAACGTTGTTTTTGTTGTTGTTTTCTGGTTTCTCGCACTACCGTTCGTTCCAGACTACCCCGAGTCACATCCGGTACCCAGGGTTGGGTAGGGGAAGGGCGACCAGGGCAACACATGGCTATGTCAACCAGGCAAGCGCCGGATGTGTGACGCTTTCCGGATCCACGAGCCACACAAGGATCCGTCGCTGGGCCAAGACTGTGAGACCAAGTCGCTGGAGACCAGCATGAGTGCCACCATGAGCATCAGCTTCCTGCCACCGGAAGCTGCAGGCATGGTGGCAAGCACAGGAAAGACCCGTTACCGGGTCGGCCCTATGCAGAGAGTTGAAGAAATGAAGCCACCAAGGTATACACTCTCAGTGTTGACCAAGCAATACTTGGTCCTAAGGTGGAAATGAAACGACACGAAATGAAACACACCCCACCCGCTGACGTCGTAAGTACTGTCGTAAGTATATGGTGCACAACACACACACTCCAAATAACAACAGACACGCATCCTCACCTTTCGGGCCCAGAACAATAGTCCTGTTAAAGTATAAACACACATTAGAAGGTACAATTAGGGATCTGCGACGTTCAAGGGTACTCATTTGGTCGAGAATTGCAAAGGTCGACTAACTTATGACACTTGTCAAATATATCAATCAAGATCAATCAAGTGATGTTATATAAGTGGGTACTCATCAAGAGCAAACAAACACACAAGAAAAAACCGTCTTACATCGGCAAACAGCAACATACCATCCATCAAACAGCAACATGATTCAACAACGTTGGCTTACTTGTTGAGCAGTTCATTCTCATTGATGGACAGTAATATGATGTTTTCCTATAAATTACAAGCCAAATATCACTGGCCCGGTCACCAATCTAATCCAACATGCCCACCCACCCTATTCTGTGCAGTTCACTGCAATCCGTACTGCTGAAAAACAAAGAGCCGAGGGTCGCCGGGGGCCCGGTCCTCCTGGCATCCTCACCATCCATGTCCAAGGCAAAGGCTTCCCAGAGGACCTGGGGCGGAGCGCACCGCGACGCAACGGAAGCCCGGGTGTCTGGGGGATCGACCTAGGTGTCTGGGGGATCGACCTAGGTGT